TCTCGCACACACACACACACACACACACACACACACACACACACACACACACATGCACACACACACACACACACACGCACACACTGGAAAATGACAATGTGAGTAAGAGATGTTCATCTCATGAAAGCTCTGCGGTTAAGAGTCCTGAACCTCGTACTGGTATGTCTGAAGCAGCTTTTGGTCTCTTTTTCTGTCTTTCCTCTACCTTCTCACTCTTTTGATGACCAAGAAGCAATAACACAGAACATCCACTGGAGGGAGACGCAGGACTTACATTCCATTAACCAAGAGCCGCTAGAGTCTGAAGGGCACTGTTATTTTGCGTGTGTTACTCTGCAATTCTCCCTCCCTTTCTATAATCACCCCACCCTGTGTGCTAACTCTCTTAAAGAACTGTCTACCCACGCTGCGCGCTCATCAGAGCTACAGCGCGCTTTCCAGTGACCACAGTTTCACGCGCACAGGCATTCTTTCACAGACGCGCGCGCAGATGCGGACAATGGGTGCGCAGAATGTTTCAGCGCGTATTAATATATAACCTTTAAATGCGTATAAGCCTTTCTTAAAATATACTCTGTGCAAAATCGTGAATAAATCGTTTTAAATTGGGTTAGAAACCTATATTCCTACCAATTCTCGCGGGGCAATGGATTTACGGAAAATGAATGAAACTCAGATCCCGTTTTGGGAATGTTCAAGAACTCCAGACAATTCCAGCGTGAACAGCCCAGCGTTGGAAGTTAACGCCACCTGTAGCAATGCGTCAATAATTCAGAAATTCAAACCTACACGACCAAAAGGTAAGAACAAACAATCCATGTTAAAGTTATGTTGTCTTGTTTCCCTGTTGCATTTTTATTCCCACAGATAAGTTCATAAATAAATCAGCATGATAAACAGCATGAAACATGAGACGTCCAACCTCTGCTGATGATACAAAACTGTTTTTTTCACAGTAAAAATGATCCATTATTTATATACTTTAGCTATAACTGCGTGCCTGAGCATTATTTATGAAATCATACATTCCCAAAGCAATAACTGCTCCGCATCAACCACTATCGAACGCATTAAAGATAAACTTCAGCAGCTTGTCTTTCAGTATGTGCGTTTATTGATTTAAAACACTCATTAAGATGTGTGGTTATTTTTCTTTTAATAGTACAGCAGTGTATTTAATTCATTTTTATAAGACAAGATTAAAGAAACAAGTCAATATTTTCTTTTTTTGTATTATTTCAAGAACTATGTCAGAGGTAATGGTTAGTGTAATTAAACCCCAAGGATGCTCTTTGCATTTTTCAGCTCTCATCAGCATCATTATACTCTTTGAACATGCAAATAGTGTTTACTTCATTAGGACATGAACAAAAAAATCCTGGATAAATGTGGTCACTAGTTGATAGGTATTCAAAACCACAACCTCTTGAATGATTTGTGGGCAAAGGAATGATTATCCTAGTTTTTAATTTTTGTTATAAATCTATGCATTTATGCAAGGTTGTGAATCAGACTGACATAAGTCAGGGGGAGTGTTTGGTAGCAGATTAAACTGCCTGTAAGGTCCTTCAGGCTGCAAAACTGTGGCCAACTATTTCAGCAGTTAATTTCAAACATCTGTAATTTGAGATATCCAACTTGACATTGATTAACCGAATAAAACCTCCCAGCTGGGAGCAAAAAAATAATTCCATTTGATTTCATTTTTATGCACAAACACCCTAGCAGTGTCTTACCTAAATACGAAACTGCTACAGCATTTCTTTTTCTGTTTTAGGTATCCACAAATTTTATAGATCCACACATTGGTGACTCACTCAATCAGGTGGTTCCACTCTTTGAAAAAGGTGGCGAGATTATCTAGTTTTAGCTTGAGAGGGTTCTGATGTGTTCAATTACAGTATAAGTGATAAAAGAAGCTGGCATACACTTGGCAAGACTGTGATTCGTGCATGAGAATAAATGTAGAGCAGGAGAAGGTGAAATGATACAGTAGATTTTCAACAAATTCATAGATTACCAGTTCTTAAAGCATTCATCAACATAAATGTGAATTATTTTGAACTGGCAACACATATAAATACATATTACACCATCGATATTCTACCAAATGTTGTCCCAACTAACCCAATAGGGTTGAATGTACATTAGTTTGTTCCAGTTCTACAATATATATATATATATATATATATGTATAGTAATGAAAAATTACAAAGTACTAATCAAACTAATTATACATACAGATTCTTTGACTGGAGAAATCCCACTGTGGGGTAAGCACACGGGTTCAAGTTGTTGCCGCTTAGCATGGCCCCATTTGGTAGATGACGCAACTAACCATCTGGCTACAAAGAGCATCGTACTCCATTGACATTCATTCAGAAATATCAGTGTATTCTGATGAAATAATATTTTTTGTAAGCAATAAAAGTGCCCGAGTTTGTCCAAAGAGACTTAAAAGTGTAAAAAAAAAAATCAACATATTTCATCACAGCTCGGTATAGTTACTAACCAGTTAGTAACTACTACTAGGGTTTTTGGTCCTACCAACAATTAATTCAGGTTGAACAGTAGGTGGGGATATTTGACAACTGCTATTAGTGGGCACTAGCAAGCCCGAATACAAGCCCAAAAATCTGCAACCCACGACCCCCAAATTTATAAGCAACTTTATGAAAAATCAAGCTGCTTATAATAAAAGGACACAGAAGTTGCATGTTGTGCAATTTGCATTGCTATAACGCCATGTCATTTTCCTGCAGCTATAGAGTAATTAGTCACATGGCATTTTCGGCTCATGTGATTGGCTCAAAATGATTGGCAGCAGAATTTAACCTGCATGTGCTGCCATGAGCATAGCTGACAGATTTTTAAATTGTGTACTCCTAGAGGTTTTCTGCACTAACCGATGAAGAGGCATTGGGGGAGTGCTAATGCATAACTTGTTAATTTCAATGTGAATCACTTAATATAATTATTTTACCACCACAAATGTCTCTATAAGAATGTTTTACCTATTTCTATACAGTTGCGATGACAATGCATTAGTATAGAGGTATGATTCTTTGAAGTTTTTTTGAATAGACTGCTCTAGAAATGAGGAGAGAAAAACATATTACCCCACTTTATATGTTTTCCATGTGAAAGGAATGCTTTTCTCAGTACATATCTTTTAAAATTACAAATTGAAAGGTTCAGACTAAACATTTATATTTTGCTGATTATATTTTATCTCTCTATAATTCTGACAGTGAATAGTCTTTCAACACCTCTCATACTCCACTGACTAGCTGTCTTCTCCATCCTACTCTCTCGTCTCCTGTTTCTTTTTCCATTTCTGGTATCCTGATATTAGCTGCGGCATCTCTGCCAACTACCTGATGGAGTGTGAAGTGTGGCATTTTGGGATAAACCACTCAGTATCTTAAGATATGCCCACATATCTTGTATCATTACATCTAAGAGCAGTCATGTTAGGGTATTTGCACTAACTAACAATTTAAAACCAAATCATATGAGAGTTGGGCTTTCTGCTGGGTCCCCTGTCCCATCCTTCCTCACACCCTTATGACACCCCTGTCTAATTGCCATTGCAGCATGAATAAATTATGTGGAAATATAGTTTGACTGCTTCTGGCTTTAAATCTATGTATTTGTTGATGATGTGGGGTGATGCTAACAGCTGTTTACTGTGTTAACTGTTGAGGTCCATATACAGTATGAAGCAACAATCATAGAGCTAATTACAGGAACTCTGTAAAAACCCTTTCATCTGCAAGACTGAAGTGTTGACAAATTAAAATGTATTGAGTTGTAATTTGTAGTTGCCTTGATAAGAATTTATTGGCTGAACAGGATATTATTCATTTGGCGAACAAACAAATAAACCAAACAGGACAGTTATTACCAATAATTGCCATTGCAGCATGAATAAATTATGTGGAAATATAGTTTGACTGCTTCTGGCTTTAAATCTATGTATTTGTTGATAATGTGGGGTGATGCTAACAGCTGTTTACTGTGTTAACTGTTGAGGTCCATATACAGTATGAAGCAACAATCATAGAGCTAATTACAGGAACTCTGTAAAAACCCTTTCATCTGCAAGACTGAAGTGTTGACAAATTTAAATGTATTGAGTTGTAATTTGTAGTTGCCTTGATAAGAATTTATTGGCTGAACAGGATATTATTCATTTGGCGAACAAACAAATAAACCAAACAGGACAGTTATTACCATACGTTTTATAGTGTTGACTGTGGTGTGGTAAAAAAAATGAGGTAAGTCTTTACCAAGTAAAAAAAAAACTTCACTTTCTGCATCAGCGTAATGGTTGGATGCTTAAACTGTGTTGCTGTGTTTTCTTAGGCACTAAAATTGAACAGAAGCTATTAACATTAGACTTTGGCACTGTGCCTGAATAAAATGGCTTTAATTTTTAATTGGTTTCAAATGACAGCAAATCCTTTTACCCAGTCTAATTACGTGACATTCTAAAAATCACAGACTTACTGACTCCCTTTGACTAATTTTAATTCATTCATCAAATTAATAAGGACCCATTCATAACACTGGCACAAGCAATGCCTGTAGATAATTTCCATACAAGTAGACTTCATGAAGAAAGCAGCAGAACTGACCAATGAGTAAAAAATCATAAAGATGAATTACTGAAATACATACATATGTGCTTGCCGGGTCATGCACGCTGAAGAATAGCTCATAATTCTAACTTTGTTCACTCAAAATAGAATGGCTCATATGTTAGCTGTTGGGCTAGGGAAGGGCAAGCTCTCAATTGTTAGAGTGCAGATGGGTTTGAAACAAAAGGCAACAAACTACACTGTGGTGGAAAAATTCTGTGTGAGGATGTGACATACAGAAGGTGTGCACGACTTAATGTGAAGCATCTGACTTAAAGCAGTGCATGGCGGTTAGACATTTTGTCTGACTTGAGTGCCGACACCAGGCCACTGTGACGTATGCCATCAGAGAACTGCAAGATCAATTTGAGAGCAGTCAGCTTGTTCAGTTAGAGCAGTTTCACCAAAGTGGCTGCACAACTATTTCACAATTATCTAAACTGTCCGATGATAATGATCATGTGTATTTCATGTTTATACTGACACCTTCAGTCCCACCGATGCTCACAAATCCATGTTTTTAACAGTAAAAATAATTTTCATGTAACCTTATGGTATGTCATGTTTATAAAAATAAAACAAATAAAAATATAGACTCCAGTTATTTGTATTTAAATAGTATAGATTTATGTTTAACTTTATTTTCTTACCTGCTCTGTATTAAGCAGTACATAAAGCACTGAATGAAATGTGTTTTTGGGTTCTGGATCTGTTTTTATACTTGCTGAAAATAATGACTAAAAAGTTTAACCAATAGCGCACAAGCATTACATAATCAACCACTCGTGGTGTGCTAGAAGGTGGGATCTTCAAAGAACATATACAGTTAGGTCCATATACAGTGGTGTGAAAAAGTGTTGGCCCCCTTCCTGATTTCTTATTTTTTGCATGTTTGTCACACTTTAATGTTTCAGATCATCAAACAAATTTAAATATTAGTCAAAGATAACACAAGTTAACACAACATGCAGTTTTTAAATGAAGGTTTTTATTATTAAGGGAAAACAAAATCCAAAACTACATGGCCCTGTGTGAAGAAGTGTTTGCCCCCCTGTTAAAACTGTGGTTTATCACACCTGAGTTCAATTTCTCTAGCCACACCCAGGCCTGATTACTGCCACACCTGTTCGCAATCAAGAAATCTCTTAAATTGGACC